GCAGGTGTGAGAGTCGAGTAGCGAAAGCACTGGCTGTCTGTTGTGATTACTTCACCTAGCTGTGTAAAAAAATAGCTACCGCAAGAAACGGTAGTCATATGTAGCTTGTGGCAGACGATTCGCAGTCTTTACCGCACTTCCGAGACTTCCTCAAAACTTGAGCTGGTTTTTGATTATTATTTTCAATAATTTTTTTAAACATAAAATCGAAGTGTTCTGAATTATGTGACCGCTGCTTTGTGCTGGCTATTTATTTACAAATCGGAAAAAGTTGTCTTAAGCTAAAATATGGTTTTCAATTAACTTGAATGTAATTAAAAATCTCAGTACAATATTTCCAAAAAATCGTTAGGATCAGTAACAAAAATTTGGATTTATACGCAACGTTTTTAATATCTAAGGTGAGCGCAGATTATCTAGAGACTCGGCAAAAATCCAGAGAGCTTGGCGGTTAAGTTTTGTTGTAGTCATCGGGCCTTACCCCTTCCAAGGATCATTTGCTTCGTTTAACTATAGCTGACTTCAAAAAGGAGACATGCGAAACTCACTTTATTTAGGTTTCCGCCCAGAAATTTGAGAATTTCTGTACTAAATCATTGAATTGACAAAATAACTTAAAAATCTTGAAATCTTTGATCTTTGAAAAAAATATTAGGAAACCTGACCAGAAAAGTGATTTAAAAAATTTTCACTGGGTTTCCACACTTCCTTACCAACTAAATTGCGTGCGATGCACACACACACACACATGTATAAGAAGAATTGCCACTACTGTGTGTGCGATATCCGGCTTGCGGCAACTGACTGCTTAAGTCAAAGCATGAATTGCATTCTTGATAAACACCTGCATAGAAGTTTTCGTGAGCGATTTCACGTGTTGCCCGCCCTAAAAAGAATAGATTTCAAACGATTTTATTTTGCAGTATTTTTGTTTTTTAGTATTAAATTTTTTTTTTTTAATTTTGAATATCGTGCCCTAGAACGGTTGCAAGTCTCAGACATGCATATATGAACGGACGTAATAAATCTTAATGCACTGACTGAAATTTCAAGCAATGAGAGGAGTAGAAAAGTGCTTAGGTGGTGAACAGGTACGACACTTGAAGGCAGCTAAAATCGCGTGTCTGAATTGGATTTGTGCAAACACTCTGTACTCTGGATGCGATTAGCTGCCCGCCGTTAAGTTCAAAAGTCACTTGCTTAAAGCGATGTATGGCGCGTTTAGTTATTAAGTGACCGTTTTATGTGCTATTCATTTTATTTTATTTTATTTTTTTTTTGCTTTACATTTACTGCAACGAAAATCTAGTTGTGAAAGCAATTTCTGCATTTTTGACGAAAATTATATAGAAAAATGCTTTCGCAATTTATGAGCCAAAGAAAATTGTAACGTTTGCTCGGTGCTTAGCTGGCGAAAGTAGTTAAGTATAGAAGAAGTAAATTCAAAAAAAAAATCGATTTTGACGTAGAATACGTCTTACCTTAACCTTAAGGTATGGGGGCTATGTTCAAATGTTGTAGTTGTAATTTTTAGAGCTTCACAAAAACGCTTATTGCACGAGAACTAATAAAGCGATTTCAAAGAAAAGTGTGGCGTTTCAAAGATAAAATTCCAAACCTGTCGACAGATTCATTTTTGTAAATAACCAATTCGGTTTCTGTCGTAAAAACAACGGTAAACATTGCCTTATTTTGGGGTCAATTTTGAGCCTTTAAAGTGCTCTAGCAACTTATTGTTGGCATATATAACTTTCATTTTCGGGATATAGGTTCTTTGGAGCAGTAGAAATATTATCGGGTACAAATTTTATATAAATTTAACAAATATTGAGCATTTTAAGGCAAAAAATTGTTGAAAAAATTTGCAAATTTTTTTCATTACCAAAATGCTCGAAAACCGCTCGAATGATTTTGTTTTTGTTTTCTTAAATCAAAAACTCAAGAGTTTTCCTTTCGTTTGGTATATGGGAAGTATTGGTTGATATCTTCTGTATATGTTTATTTTATTCAAATATATGGGCATAAATGATTTTCCATACAAAATCACCTCGTCATCATTTTGCAAACACGTGCATATGTTGGAAGTGTGGGAAGGAGACAAAAAGTATGTATGCGTATGTAATGCGGCTTTTGATCGCAGCGTATGTACATATGTAAATGCATATATACGTACATATGAAAGTTTCAGTTAATGTGGATCTGTTTGGTTTTGTTATCGATATTTTTATCGATTTTGTTATCGATATTTTTATAGATTTTGTTGCCGATATTTTAATCGATTTTGCCATCGATATTTTTATCGGTTTTGTTACCGATATTTTCACCGATTTTGTTATCGAAATTTGTATCGATGTTGTTATTGATTTTGCTATCGATATTTTCGGAACTTATCGATATAATGATCGATATTTTTATCGATTTTGTTATCGATTTTGTAATCGATTCTGTTATTGATTTTATTATTGATTATTTATCGGTTTTGTTATCGATATTTTTCTTAATTGTTTTAACAATTTTGCTATCGATATTGTTATCGCTTTTGTTATCGATATTTTTGTCGCTTTTGTCATCAACATTTTTATCGGTTTTTCTAAAGATATTGTTATCGCTTTTGTTGTCAGTATTTTTATCGGTTTTTTTACCGATTTTGCTATCGATATTGCCATCGCTTTTGTTATCGATAGTTTTATCGAATTTATTACCGATTTTGTAATGGATTTTTTGATAGATTTTGTTATCAATTTTGTTATTGACTTTGGAGTCGATTCTGTTATCGATTTTGTAATCGATTTTTCGATAGATTTTGTAATCGATTTTTTATCGATTTTGTAATCGATTTAGTTAACGATTTTGTTATCGATATTTTTATCGATTTTGTTATCGATTTTATTATCGCTTTTGTTATCGATATTTTTTTCTTAGTTTGTGCTTTCGTTTTTGACTTGGATATGCTCTTAACCATACCACGTATTCTACGTTTAAATTTAGCGGGTGTATCTCCGATACAGCCTGCAGACCAAGACGAAGGCGCTGGACTGTTCCTTTTTTGTTAACAGGTAAGTTACTCATCCGCCATGTTGACCCGCTCAAGCAGGCGCGGCGCAAAATGCACATCTACATATGTATATACACAAATAAAGTATATAACGATACATACATACATATAAATACAACGCTATAAGTGGACACTTGGTTAAAAGTTTCCTAAGTAAATGTACACATGTAAGAAAAATGCGCACAAATAGTGGAAAATGAAACCGCATTCGGCGCACAAATAGGGCAATATGAAACGCTATATGTATATATAAGCAACAAAATAAAAAAATAAAATAAAAACAATAGCAGCATAGAAACAGCAAATAGCGCCAGCTAGTTGCAAATAAATAAACACAGAAAATGTGGAAATTAAACGCTGCGGCGCGCTGCGCTCTCTGTCCGCTCAATAGCTTAACGCTTAAGCTGCGCCACAGTCAACACTCAACCAATGCCATTCATTGGGGTATATGTACATACATTAGACCGTAACACTTTACAAACAAACAAAAAAAAGTGCGCCGTGCACCCCTGAGTTTAAAGTGTTTTGGCAAAACGGTCTCGAATTTTTTTTTAATTTTTTTTACAAACCAAACCAAACAATTTTCGGTGACACCTTCATTCAGCAGTTCTACTTTGTAGTACTTTGATGAATTTTGGAGAGCTGTACAGGGCAATGCTGGCAACTGCCTTTCAACTCACCAAAACGCAAAAGTCTTTCGCAAGGCAATTGCCAATTCTGGCAACTATCTTAGTTTCTGTCTTTCGAAAGACTTATTGAAAAATCTGCTAACAAGGAGGTCCTAGCGTTTTTTTGTTTAGTCTTTTAGCAACAAGTTTTCTAAAAAATTCAACGAAATTAAAGAAAATATATAGTTTATCTTTTTAAGACCATAAAAACTAAAGATTAAAAGAAATTTTAATTGAAAACAAATTTAATCAAAAGAAAAGAATGTTAAATCCTTAAAACTAAATTAAATAAAAAAAAATATTTTTAAAATATGTAATATAATATAAATATTGAAAAAAAAAACAATATTAATAGATAAGAAAATAAATAAATATAAAATAAAAAATAATAAAATTAAAAATAAAACAATAAAATTCAAAAATTAAGAAAAAAAATTTAATTAAAGAAAAAAATTTAATTAAACATAAAAGAAAAAAAAAACTTTGTCTGAGGACTTGACCTCGAATCTCCCGAATGGCACGCCAGTGCTTTGCCCACTCGGCCTTTGCGACTGTTAGAGCAGCGCGAGCAAAATTACATACAAGTGCTTTCTGTCAAAAGAGCTTTTCACCATGAAAGTTGGGAGGGAGCTTTATATTGTAAGTCTTTCGTGCCAGAATAAAGAAAGTCTTTCAAACTATCTGGCCTACTTGCTTTCAATTAGCTTACTAAAGAATTTCAACTGTCTTAGCCAGAATTTCGGTGTTAATTTACTGACATTAGGGTAGTATGTTAAAGTGACAAGAACTGAGATCTGTTGGGTAAGCACTAGAACGGGCTACTTGCGGTCAATGAACAAAAAACTTTCACGAGACAAGGACATCGATATATTATACCTTAAGATCCGACTGTAAATGCCGGCGATATGACGTGAAAAATAAAAGGCGAGCCTTAGAGTGCAACTCCACAACCAGCTTTTAAGGCTTTCAGCAATAGCTGAAAAAATTAATTTTTTTTTCCAAATTGCCTTGCAAAAATACTTTATAGACTCCGGGGTGTACGGCGTACTTTTTTCTCTGGTACGCTCTAATGTATGTATACCCAAAGATACTCCTCTTGCACCACTTTAGTTGGCATTGACTGTATGAGCCAGCTGTGGGTGACGACCACCGCTTGCCAACGACATTAACAGATCGCTTGCCTGCCGGCCTCAGTACGAATGCATCTCTCTTGCATTTAGTTTCACTTAATTGTCATTTCCATAGTCATTAGTCGTGACATGAGATTATGTATGTACATTGGTTCTTGTTCATTAGTTGGTGGTTGGTTGGTTGGCACACCAGCTACCTCTTCCAACCTCTTCGCCATTTTTAAGCTTCGCTCTTAGCTGCATCTACAGCAGCTATAGTGATTTCAATTTCATTATTGCCAGTGAAAATGGCATTCATGCCGTCAATGTTCGTTGTCCAGTTTATAGCCTGTGTGTCAATGCAATTGCCGCCGCTGCAGATTCGATTAAGATTTAATACTTGTAATTATAAATTACCTTTTATTTAGTTAACGGATGATTAAGTATTTAAGATACGGTGATTAAAAGCTTACAAATGTTATTTAATTGCAGCTAGATTTAATTGTCATCATCCGTTTAATGTTTAGATGGCTTCCGGTAAGAACAATTTATACCCGTATTTTTCAGATACTCTTATGTAGCTGAGGAGCGATAGCAATACAATTGCTTCAAATGCCCTACCTAGAGTGGAGAGGCTTCGTCTGGATAAAACAGGGCACTGGCACAACAAATGCAGAATCGTTTCCTCCTTTGTCTTTATCTTGACAACTTCTACAGAATTCGTAATCGATACTAACAAACTGATATTCTGCTTAACTAAGCTCAGTAGTAGGCCAGTTGAAGATGTAGATATCAGCTAGGGACGCAAGACGCAACCTATGGGAGATGCCCAGGTGTTCGGAATATACGTCCCCACCCACCCTTCCCTCGAGCTTTGAGCCATCTGGGTATACATGGATGGACTTGCCACTCCTTAGAGTGTCGCATTTCCACTACTCTTCCCTTGAGGGTGGGAGAGTTGTAAACGCTGTAATGAGGTCAGAGTCCGGAGGTGCATAGTCCACCAATACGGGAAGCCCCTAAAACTCCGTTGGTATCCTACCATAACCATAACTGGTATTTAACCACTTATTTCGATAGTTCATACGAATTTACGCTACGCTTGCGACCTGCTTGGCATCATGTATGTGGATCTACCGGAAGAAAGTTCATTGGGACATACAGTGTCTTAGATGGTGTTGTTCTCATAGCACCAGTTAAGAGCCTTGGACTTTATTCATCTTTTTCAAGCTTACCCCTTTCTCAAGGGTGTGCCGCCATACCACTATACCGGCATAGAGAATTGGCCTATCTTTGGTGACTTTACTGCGCAGGCAACCCGGTAAATGCGTTTTGTATTGGGTGCTCTAACGCTTCTTCGCTGTTAGCTGGCCAATTACCAGCTTCCTTGATGAGGCAGCTAATATTGCTATGATACGTTGATAGTATCTTACGTAGTCTGCTAGACTCTGAAGAACTTTCTATCTTCTGACAGAAGTTTCTCGATGAGTAGCGTACTTGAATCGGCGTTGCCAGTCTTTAAATTCACTCCAAGAGTTGGTTCTCTTAGCTTCGTTGAATTTGGATGTACATTCCCTTCTGAGCGTTGCAATTTTAGTCGACCCCATGGACGTTTTTGTTTTCTACTTTTCGCCCTGGTCGGGCAGGCTACCTTTAAGTTGATTCTCTGAGTCTCTAATGTAATCTTATTATTTCACAGTTTGGCCAGCCAGGACTAAATATTGCAGTTTCCTAAATGGGACACGATTTGGCACCATGCCTTTTAGAGCAGTGAGTATTATCCACATCCAATTTAGTTATATGTACATATATTGAATTATCGAAATCTTCATTATTATTTCTTCTCATTTCTCTAACGAATTCGGTTGCCTTTTAATTTGAGAAACAAAAACAATTCAAATGTCTGCAGTTTATTAACATTTTTGTTATCTTTATGATCTGCTTTCTTCTTCTAACAAATTTCCTATCCTCAGAGCTATTTTCGTCGACCACAAACGTTTTCATTTCGCCTGACATCTAATCAAGATTGTGGTCAAATTTAATTAAACAAACAAAAAGTAAAGCAACGAAAGTTATCTACACGACATCTTACTCGTAATAAAAGAGATGCACAGCGCAGACCTCAATTGACATTTTCAATAAATTGCCAAATGTCAAATTACAGTGCAGGCACAGCCAAACCACAAAACATTTACAACACCATGCACAAACAATGCAATTGATGTGAAATCGGTTTACCAAAACAAAAATGCGACAAAGAATAAAAAGAAAAAATACACCACAAAAGACGAAAACAAGATTGAAGTTCGTAAACTATCGAGTACTACACCCTTCGTTCGAATTGGCACGGCAGTGCGGCAATTTGGCAGCGGAAAAAGCAGTCAATGTCGGCGACAGCAGACGACAAGACATTACATATATATATTTAGCGAAAGGGGAAGAAAATAATAAACACTAATAACAACAAACAGCCCACGTCTCCATTACAGACGTGCCGCCATTATTATTTGGCTTCGTCGATGTCAACTGTTTTGGGTTTTGTGGGTTGCAATGGCGCGGCGTCTGAATATTAGCGTTGCAAAGGACGGACGAAAAAGTATGTAAAAGTATATGAAAAATGCAAAAAATATGGCGCTTGAATGGCAAAGGTAGAGGAAAGAAAGAAGAAGAATGGCGAGCGAAGAAAGGTTGTAAAGATTTTTATTAGTTTCTGCAAGTAATGGTTTTGCGGAGGCGAATATTGTTATTGAGCTGTAATAAAAATGCCAAGAAAAAAATATTAGAGGTAAATATTCGAAATATGGCAGGAAGTGAGATATGTAAATATAATTATGTATGAAAAAAACCAAAATTTTTAAAATTTTTTTTAAATGCGAAATAAAAAAGCATTTGCTCAGTACCGAAAAGCATACAATTCGTAACTATTGTAGCAAATCAGAGACCAGTTGATTTATAGTTTACTTGAAGGAACGATAAAAAAGCAAAAAAAAGAATAAAGCCTGAAGACCGTAACATGAAATATGGGACAAAACATAGTACAAACGGATTAAACATACAGCCAGAATATATTCTAAAATTTTATTGGTCTGGAAGCGAGTTACGCTTTATACAACCAAAATACTGTTTACTATTCAATGGCTCCCAGACTAATTTTGGAATACGATTATGTGGTTTGAAATCCAAGTTATCAAATTTGCTCCAACAGGATAGAATCAATACGAAAACAATTACTATACAGCTCTCGCATTTTTTGGTAGAGGTTCTCACTGGTCACTGACCGATCGTAATTAACACTGGGACACTAAGAACCGCATCTGATCTTGGGGACGAAAAAAATCGAGAAAATTTCTTTATAATGATCGTGACATTTTTGAACTATTACATTTTATTTAAAACGTTCCAACTATTCTGTCTGGGAATCAAAATGTTAGATGAGGCATTTCTCTACATATTTGGTGTGGTGCCGATCACAATGGAAAAAGGTAATTGGTAATTTCTAAGTATAAATTTTATAACTGGTCAATGGCTGAAAACAAAAGAAGGTTTCAAATGTTCTCTGGACTACATGAGTTACTAATGTCAAATTTAAAGAGCTTTTTTGAGAGTTACCTTTTTCCGATTACGACTAAACGGTCAAAATTTTTATTTTTTTTGTCAACGGCGAGCGATTAGTTCATGCCAGAATAAAAAAAAATGGACTGAAGATAGGCAAATTATATTTAAACACAAAAGGGCAATGAGCTCAAACCGATAAGACTGGACTGGACGAAGCTTCCGATTGCGCAACACACATATAACTAGGAAAAGGGTTTGAAAATTGCTCTTTGACATCGAAAAAACTTTGCACCACAGATGATATTCTCTGTCTTCTTGGACACAGAAGGTGCTTGCAACGATATTAGTCCGCATGGTAGTGTTTGTGAATAACCTCCTAGGACATCGGATTATAAATGCAGAGCTGGACGTTTACTATGTATTTTATTTGAAAGTATTTTCGTCCGAAAACGGATTTTCCTTTGGGAGTTAATTCTACAAAATCAGAACTTGTATTATTTACAAGGAAATATCGTCGTCCATCTCTAGGAAATATCACCCTAATGGTGAAACACTGGAGATCACTAAATGGGCTAAATATCTAGGCTTAATACTGGATAGAAAATTAAATTGGGGACCTAACATCGATCGAATGATACGGAAGGCCACAAGTGCTCTATACTTCTGTACCAGAGATATCAGCTAGATTGTATAACGGATTTACATTGCGTTGTAAGAACGATTATTTCCTACGGAGCAGTTGTTTGGTGGGATGTTCTCAAGAGAAAAGTAAACGCTATGAAAATGGATTAGGTTCAACGGCTGGGTTCTCTACTGATACCGGGAGCCTCGAAACCAACGGCCAGCAAGACGCTTAACACGCTACTAAACTTTTGTTCCGACGTATTACTTTGCATACAAGGAAAATGGAATGGACGAACTAACAACACCAAGTTCATGACCAGTCTTCGATTAAGGAAAGAATGGACTTTGGACACGGTCAGGGCAATATGATCCATCCATGTTTGTACGGATGGAACATTAAGCTTTAAACTTCCAAATGTATGGCACTGTTTCCTTACGCGGAACAATCAGCGTCTTTCTGGTGCATTAAGAAAAATTGCAAGGCTAACGAACTTGTGCGTCTTGTAACGACATTGTCTGAAACAGATATCAGGGACACATATGGTATCCCATTTGAAACGCGCAAACTTCGACTAAACGAAAAATTCAGAGAAATAGACAATGAAATATGGCTGTGTGGAACCAACTTGCCATATTTCTAGAACACACCGACCAGCCATTAATTTACAAAGCACAAAGTTTCTACATAACCTAAGAAGGCAAGAGATCCGCAAAGTAGCTGGAGTACTTAACGGAAATTGTCTGATTGGATTACACGCCGCGAGACTGGACATTCGTTATATCGGCATTCGTTATACTGGAGCACCACTGTTAACTCAATTTTCCGTTTAAAATTGTGGAAGCTCATTATTTTATTTCAATAAAATACGAAAAAACTAGTTAAAAATAATTGTAGGGTTTCTCCAAAACGAAAAAAGAATTCACAAGAAAAATTTGAAATGTTATAAAAAAAAAAATCACTAAAATTAGTCTCTTTCAAATTTTAAAAGCTTTAATAAAAAAAAAAAAAATAATAATTAAATTGAGTGAAAAATTAAGGCTGCAGTGAATTATGAATAAT